AAAGAGGATATGCCCGATGCGATTTTTATTTCGATTTTTTCGGTCTTGCGCCTTTAACGTTTAACGTGGACATTGGTATGTGCAACCGTCAGCTACGTATATAATCTAACGCGAATACGTTTAGAACCATGACAAACCAAGTGTTTTCATATTCGATAATGCGTTCTTACCAATCTCTCTATCGGATGTACAATCTTTCTCCCTCAATAAAAAAACTAAGTCGTATCTAAATATCGCTATGTAATTACGGAAATCTTTCATCGAACTTAGAAAATGCATCTCTTCGATAATAGGCTTACTCGACGTGTCAACGAAGAAAAACTGTTCAGCGTGGCACACGGCGCAATACTATCACAGTTAATCCTCACCAGGAAAATTCAACGCACATTCGTGTCATTCTAAACGCAATTCGCGTTCTGAACAACTCTCATCTAAGCTACATAATTATGCCCGGCTACGGGACTTCAAGGCGAAGAAAAGCGCCCTGTTTACGCGCAATTCAGACTCAATTTGTCCCCTTTTTTTTGCATAAAAAAGTAGACAGATATTCACTTAAACAACATTTAACTTTTGCTAATGCTCGTGGGAAAGACGCTATATCGGAATAACACGTGTTGCATACTCGGCGAGCATATTACAGGAAGTATAATACAATTTACCGACTCCTATTTATAGTGAGACGATTCGAGTGACAATCAATGATTCAAGATTGATTGGGCCTAACAGAAAAAAGCGGGATACATTAGCTTTGTTTCTTTTCTTTCTAAGCATATTACATGGTATTTACAAAATGTTGCTTCGTTCTTCTTAATTCCATTTGGAATCCTGAAACAGTCATTTATAATCTGCTTTAGTATAAAAATAAAATGTCAAGTTAAATAAAAAATTATTTAATAATAACAACTTAATCTATTTTTTTAGTCTAATAAATTTTTTAGTTTAATAATCGATATTTACAGGGAAAGGAATCTTGGAATGTTTTCCTTTTCTTTGCATCGATCAGATTGATGATAATGCTGCGTAATGATAGAGGAAAGACGTGTGCATTATTAGTAATACGAAGCAATCAAGTTTCGTTCATTGTAAAGTCCATTTTAGACAATCCATAATTTAAAATAGAATTAGATTTATATTTATATTATATTTATATTTTAGATATAAGATTTATATTTATAATAATTTAATACAAAAAACATTTACTCAAAACAAAAATTATATCACGTTCTATTTTATACAAAATTGCATACTATGAAATTTAATAATTTACAGCTTTGGAA